TACTAGAACCTACAAGAAAAATGTTAACAGTGACTAGAACCTAGAAGAAAAATTTTAACAGTGCTCAACAAATACTAGAACCTACAAGAAAAATGTTAACAGTGGCTAGAACGTAGAAGAAAAATTTTAACAGGGCTCAACAAATACAATAGCCCTTTTATCATCACAGCTTCACACACAAGTGAATTTCTAAATAATACAAAACATGTTTTATGTCAGACAAATGATAATTTATTCTTTAAAAGTAGAGTAAAAAGAAAAACAGAACTACACTATATTATTAATAGCATTAGCGCTGCACCTATCCCAATCTATAAAACCACATAACATGACTAACAAAGTAAAACACTAACATGATGAAAAACTATTTATTACAAGATTATCCAAAAGAAATCTGGCAATTTTGATCAACATAATGTCTTCAAATTGACTTTTTAGCATAACATTTTTTCAATAACACAGAAACAGAAAGTATGTTAAAAAAAATAACTCTGAAAACATTAGCTTATTTTTTTTGCTTTATCACTTTTGTGCAGATAGAGAGCATTTCTACCAGAATCACCATAATGGTAATTGATTGTGAAAATCAGCAAGTTACATAAAGTATTAACAAAACATCGCCAATAGAACATTCCTTTCGAGAATAATTTCAGGACTGACAATTTTATAACAATAACAAAATAATTGTAGGGTATATTATAAGACAAAAAAAAGAACTTGTTGCACTACAAGCTAAACACCAACAATAACATTATTATTTTGATATCATTACTTTAATAAATGAGAAATGAAATATTTTTTTTTACAAATTCGAGTTTATAAAATTATTTTAATGCTGCTAGGTTTTTAGAACTAAAAGCACTGTATAATACCTTGAGTAGTTGAGCCATTAAGTCTCTAGAAATTGCTTCCACTAGTCGTAGTGCTCGTTGGATAGGATATTTAGTGCTTCTGATCTTCCTCAGGTGAGAGAAGATGCCTTGAAGAGCTAGACGTATCTTGTCAAGCTCCGTCGCTGCCAGTAAGTCATTCAGGGGAAAGTCTTTCATGAGTGGATTGTAATCATTCACGGTGGCTAAAGCTTTCTTTAGGCCTAAGAGGAAATCAATTTTGCTTTTATAATATATGGTATCTATACTATTATAAAACATTTAAAATATTGAAAACTGATAATCAATAAAATTATTTGCAGAAGCTTATACAGTAGTTCTATATTAGGTGGAATATCTGAGGAGAACTACACAGTTTCATGCAAAGGCTCCATTAAAATAAAATGTACCAAGATGTCAACTACACAGGTTAAACATGTTAGAGTAATTTTCTATACATATCCATTAAATAAGTTCTACCTTTTTAAGAACAGTATAATTCAAAGCTGAATTCAATAACTTGCCTGAAAAAGTTAAAAATAAACAATAAATTGTATGTTACATAAACGGAAAGAGTCATCACTATCACATTTCTGCCAAGTCTATGTTCAAAGGTTTATGAAAGTAGCAAACACATTCAACTGGATCCAGGATCCCCCAGGTCTACCTGGGCATCTTAAGAGACCCAGCTGAGAAGTCCAGATGGACCTCAGCTTCCTGGTTAAAGTGGTTCCATTCAATTTCAAGGTAATGGATTAATCATTTTCTTTGATGTAGTGCAACACTGCAACACTATAGCAGTGCTTTCCAAAGTGGGTGTCGTGAAACCTTGGGGTACTACATCATGCACCAAGGGGTGTTGCCTTGTTTTGGAAAATTGCACAAAATGTCTTGTTAAGTTTCTAACTTTTATCTATAGCTGTTATAAAATTCAGTAATATAAAGTATTTTTAAATTTGCTCGCCGATGTGGCACACAAAAAATTATCTAATGTTTTATATATTTCTTTTTGGGCACGAAACAAAAAAAGTTTTGCCAACACAGCCTTGTGTAGTTGCAGGTAAGGAAGGGAGCCCAGATACACCAGTTTATAATAGTCTCTGCGGTGTCAAATACTTTTTGGTACAAAGTGTGTCGCCATCAAAAAAAGTTTTGTAAGCACTGCACTATAGTTAAACAATTATGGGATCACTGAGAAAATACCTGAAGATATATTTTTATTTTCTTCATTACTGACAGACACAATAAATACTAAGTCATTATGTCACAATTACTTTGAGGAGAACTTAATAAAACAAGAGCTTACCAAAGTTATTAGTTAAACAGATCGTTAAAATCCTGCAAATGTGTAACCACTGTATATTAGGATTTAAATGTTAATGTGTTTTTTTACAATATGTAATAATATTAATATGTACAAGATTTAGAATCTCTTAGAATGGCTTGTTTTGAAATATTAATTATCTTAAGTCTTAAAGGAGAAACAGAATAATTAAACACTGACCACCAAAATGTTTTTAAAAGGTTTTTTTTTCAATAACTTAAGTTGCTAGTGTCCAACCTATGAGTGAACTTTTGATTCATTAAAGCCACTGGTAAATCGGTTAAAATTTCAAAACTACTTAAAAAATGTTTTCAAAAGCTTGCAATACTAGTTCCTTATGTATAACATTTACAATAAATACCAGGAAATTTTAAGAAAAAATAATATGTTAAAATACAATTTAAAAATAAAAGACCAGTAAAATTTTTATGTTGCTAAAAATACAAGTCCATTCATGTTAGTAAAAGACCAGTAAAATGTTTTATGTTACTAAAAATACAAGTCCATTCATGTTAGTAAAAGACCAGTAAAATGTTTTATGTTGCTAAAATTACAAGTCCATTCATGTTAGTAAAAGACCAGTAAAATGTTTTATGTTGCTAAAAATACAAGTCCATTCATGTTAGAATAAAATTGATAAACATATAGCACTAATGTTTATATATTGAAAAGGTCATTTAACAATTAAAAAAATTATTTTCTGTATATTAACTACATAATTCTGGACCTACTAATTTAACCACATCCAAACTACAAATTAGTAATTCAGATGGCTACTACACTTAATTTTGACTCCTTAAAAACTATGTATAAATCCATCTATCAGACAAAATCCAATATCCCCCAATGCCATTACCACAGACAATATTCGTTATGACAATAAGTTGACAACTAGGACCGATAACGGTATAGAGATATTTAATTCATTATTGTTTTATAGTGCTGTTTTAATCACCTATTATCAATTATACATATAACAATGCATAATACCTGTATCTGAATCAAAACTGACAGTTGCGTGAAATCGTTTTCCCTTCTTCAAAATATCGAGAGTTAAAGCCACTTCAATGCTCTCTCGTTTTTCTTGAATACGCAGCAAGGCCCTTTCTAGGTTCAACCAGAAGCTTATTTCCTGCAGTGCAGTACCCGACGAGGGATCTCTATCAAGTTTGGTGACCTGTATAAAATGTTTAACGATTTATTCTTCCACCTACCGTGTTTTATTACACTCATTTGATGTAGCCATACACTTGCAGTGTAAAATATTTATTATTTAGAAACCAAATATTCATATTAATGACATACAATGTAGTTACAAATGCTATTAGGCCTATCTTACCACACACTTTCAATCTGTTCTGAGGTATCTGTAAATGAGTTTAAACACTTAATATTAATTTCTAGTTTACAGAGTTCAAAATAGAGAAGATACAATTTGTTTTTGTTTTTCATTTTTAGAAGATAGGCTTTTAAGTGGCAACAACAGCAAAAATTTGATACAGATTCACAACTTACAAACAGCTTAAGAAGCAAAATCTGTAACTTTTTTTAGCTTCTGGTAGTGGAACTTTTGTGTTTACTGGATTTTTTTTATTCAGAAATTAAATCACTAATGGATTGGATTATATTTTCCAGTTCACACTCACACAGTAAAAATTTCAAATTGTAAGATACTAAATATAAAAATATTTAAACAAGCTAGCTAGTCACTCTAAACATTAGAACAACAATATTATATTTACAACAGAAACTACCATCTTAAAATTTTAGCAAAGACTTGTACTATATTTCAGAATCCATTAATGTTACTGTCAATTTTATATTCACAGTTTCATCAAATTTAAGAAGATTTACAATATCATTAGAAAAACATTAAATTTAGTTCATATTTAATTTGAATAAATAAAATTACTTCTCTCACATATTAGAGCTAACTTCATTAAATTTACATAAATTACCTTAAGACTTCACTTCATTAAAAAAACTGTTAAAAATCCACTTTATTACTTTCACATGTAATTTTTATTGTTGTATTACATCCTTTTAAAACTACTGTAATCTTACATGTACAGAGAGTCTTCAGAGACAAGTGCAGTATCCTTGTGTAATTAATTACCTTTTGTATTTCTCTGATCCATCTGTTCACTCCATTCTGCAGTTGGTTCAAGAACGTTGAATCTTCTACTTTGTCACCAAAGTCGTTGACAGTTGCCTTACGACCTTCATCGACACATCTTTTTATCGTTGCAGCAACCACAGGATGAACAGGAAGAGTGATTTCTGGGATATCAATGTTTTGCTGAAGATGAAGCAAACCCATCTCCAGTTCTGCAATCTTCTTCTCCACAGTAGGGGCCATCTTATCGCCATCTCTGAATTTGTATAAAGACATGTTGAATAAATGTGTAATTTTACATTACACAAACAACTGATGTGAAAACAAAATTCCTTGGTGTGTTTTGATTCACTTGTAGGTCTTCAGAAACACCAAAATTTTTTACAACACGGAAAAAGAAACATAACTCCATTTGACATAAAAGTGAACTTTAACCATATAGCTTTCTACCAGGACATTCTAAGCTACGGTTTGTAGTAAACGACTCACCTCTCTGCTCTACCGGTTTCTCTCACGTAAGATTTGAAATAAGGAGCTACAGCACTGCTTACGTAGGAATGCAGAGTTTCGTAAGGAGAACTATCGTTCAGATTCATCACACGTAACTGTGATGCTATTCTTTTGTCTGCTTCAATAACAGGCGTTTTCTTGATAATGACAATGCTAAGAAAATAAGTAGACTGTTACAATAAAATATGTTTTTAACTTCTATACAGAACTATATTTATTTTAACTTCTGAAAAAAAATTAATGTACTTTTATTTTTGTCACTCAATATAAATAAAGCAAATGATCTTTAAAAACTAAGTATTTTATACTATAGTCACTAAGTTACAGTACATATTTTAAAGCTTAGTGCACGTTTATCTTGACAGAAATCTATTATTTAAGCTCCTATCGATAAGCTAAAAATGTTTTTTATTTGAGTTTTTACAAATACAGTATGTACAAGCCGTTAAAGTATTAATCTGAAATAGCCGATATTACCTGTTGAATTTTGGATTAGTAAAATGAACTTCATCTGAAATAAGGTAAGTAACATTTTCCTTCTCCTCCTCAACTTCTCCACCAGCTTCTCCAACTTCTTCTTCATCTATAAATATGAAAACAAAAACAAACACACATACTATGTTTATAAACATAGTAAACAAACTATTGAGATATCACATTAAATGTTGATACTGATGATAATAAATATATATACGTGTTCTTTCCCTACTTTTGAATGTCAAAATGTATAATTCTGAAGAAATATACTGTTAATATTAAAATCAGTAGTAAAAGAAAAGCTATCACATTCACTGATGTATCATCTATACTCTTTAATTAAAAGTAGACAGGAATTATCTCCTTTAAAAATAAACACTTGCTCATTTAGAGATACCAGGTATGATATTCCAAGTCATCTAAACATTTACTTTTTTTACTTTAGAAAAACAAAAATACACAAACTGATCTAATATTTGTTTAGGTAGAAAATTATTCTAACTTCTCATAGTTCATGTGCGTGTTCTTATAGCATAGCCACATCGATCTGTGTCCACCAAGGGGAATAAAACCTGATTTTAGCATTATAAATAAACTTACTGCTGTCCCACCAGGGGACATTTCTCATAGTACAATAGAGTTAAAAACTTGTAACAAAATCCTTAGTTAGACTCCAGTGTTAATATCTCCCTACACTATCAGGTGCATAAGACAAAAAAAAGATGCCTCCACTCTTTTATAAATTGTACCAATTTCTCAAGGTCTTTCCATGCATTACTAACACTGCCTCTAAATGTTCCCTTGAAGAAACCAATTAAATTACTGTTTGTCTCAAAATAAAATGTTAGATATCACACTAACTTTTAAATGAAATCACTTTTATCTTATCCTACGTAACCCACCGTCATTTCTTTTTGAAGTATTTCTTCAGTTGTTAAAAATGTCAAACCATTTGACGTTAAGGGACTTTTTTATCAAGTACTTACTGGCAAAACTGTTTAATTTTTTCTGAACAGCTTTGACTTTCATGTTTCAATTTAATATATTAACACAGACCACACTTCTCTGAAAGATCTTCATTTTGATATCTTGGCTGATGATTAATGACTTTCAGATTTTAGCAAATTTTTGGAAACTTGAAAATGCTTTTCCTTACTTTCTTTAATATCTTTGATGAACTACTCATTTTTTATATAGAATACAGTGTTATAAGTACATTGTTATCCTGGTGATCAGCACTTCCATTTCTATTTTATTAACATAAGGAACAATCTTTTTTAATTAATTATTTAAATCCTCCAAATCTTTTTATGCATCTCTGCTGTTGTGTTAGTTAAGATGCAGATATTATTAGCAAGCCTCTCTCTATCTTTACTTATTGAGACAACAGACTGTGAGCAGATGTTGCCATGGAAATTATAGGCCAGTTATTCACACTTATGCAATGGAAAAATTCCAGTGAGTGATAAAAGAAGCTTTGTAAAATCATCTGATAAAACACAACTTGAACATCTTCCCTTGCTACTCAGGATGTTAATACGTTACATGGACAATCTAATGAAACACAACGTGATAAATATCAACATGAACATCTTCCCTTGCTATTCAGGATGTTAATTTGTTACACGGACAATCGTGGTTGTATATTCAAGTAAAATTGATTTTTACTAGAGCAATGGGATAGGCATGTTGAATAATAGAAGATCTGATAATATATCTGTTAGAAAACAATACTGAATTTCACTGAATGTACGAGTTGATGTGAACAAAGTAAAGAGACTAGACTCAAGGTAAAACACTAAAAGCACAGACAATATTTCAACAAGGGTTTTGATGGAGGTTAAGGATTGAATACCAGGCAGGTACCAGAGTATTGAAAGTTGGCTAATGTTACTCCTCTTTTCAAGGGAGACAATAAAAATTGTCCAAGTAATTACAGGCCTTTTAGTCTTAGATCAGTTGTGGGAAAAGTTTTGGAAAGTCTGTTAAAAGATGCTATGAAAAGTCATTTAACGATGTTTAGAATTTTATTGGATAGTCAACATGGTTTCACTAATGGAAAATCTTACCTTACAAATCTTTTGACATTCACTGAAAAGGTTACTACTTATGTAGATGAGGGTAAGGGTGTAGATTTGGTGTATCTGGATTTTCAGAAAGCATTTAACAAGATGCGACATAAAAGGCTTTGGAAAAAAATATCTGGTGTGAGGGATAAGTTAGAAAATTGGATAGAAGAGATGCTGAATGGAAGAAAGCAGAGGGTTGTTATAAATGGAGTTCAGTCAAACTGGATTAATGTCACAAGTGGTGTACCTCAGGGCTGAGTCTTAGGACTTTTTTTTTTATTATTTTCATCAATGATATAGATGAAGGAATAGTCAATAAATTACTTAAATTTGCAGAAGATATTAAGGTCTTGGGTGTTGCTAGCTGTAAAGAGGATGCTGCTGATTTACAAAAGGATTTAGATAATTTAGTGAGTTGGGCAAATAAATGACAGATGGGTTTTAATTATAATAAATACAAGATAATGTATGTAGGTTATCATAATTTGAATTATAAGTATAATTTGGATGGGAATAACCTTAATAGTGTTATAAGGAAAGGGATCTTGGTGTAATAGTCCATCAGTCTCTAAAGCCATCCAAGCATCGTGTTGTTGCTAGTAGTAGTAATTGTTGTAGAGCAAATAGGATTTTAGGTTGTATCTATAGAAATATTGAATACAAGTCTAAAGAAGTTAACTTCATTGTACAGGTCACTGGTTAGACCACATTTGGAATACTGTGTTCAGTCTTGGGCTCCTTACCTTAGGAAAGACATTGAATTGTTGAAAAGGGTTCAGAGAAGAGTTACTAGAATGGTGCCTGGAATCTCTCAAATTATTTTCTCTTGAAAAAAGAAGAGTTAGGGGGGATCTGATTGAGGTGTTTAAGATTGTAAAGGGAATTAATAGTGTTGATGCATCATCTTTTTTCATATGTAACAATGAGATTAGTAGGACTAGGAGACACATATATTTTGGCAAGGTAGGAGTCATTTTCAGCTAAGACAGTTTTGTTTCTTTATTCAATAGTTTTAGTTTAGATATTAACCCCCTTCTAAGACAGAGAAAGGGGCCCAAGAAGGATTCATGTCTCAGTTCTAATGATCACCAATAAGAAGCCCACTACATGAAGAATCATCAGCATATTTAAGCAAGTTCAAGTTAATCTTATAATAACCATATACACATCAAACATGTGTGAAGTTCCAGTCATCACAGCAATAGTATCCTGCTTAAACGTTAAACAAATGAAGAGACAAGATACTAAAATGATACCTGCTTTTACAGCTTTAAGAAATTTCAGATACAAAAGAATAGGCTTATTTCTTTTTTCTAAAAATGCCTTGATTCAGGTGTTAAAATTAAGTGCACGAATAATCTGGTAGTGTAGAATGAACAACTAAAAACATGCATTTGAATATTTGGTGTGATAAGTTTCTGCTCGGAAAGCTTAGATTAAGCAGGCATATTTTCTAGACTTCAATTAACCACTGGGAAGTTCTAAGGGCTCAATATATGAATATACTGTACTCTCTGCCATGATTTTAAACTGTTATTTACACTCTCAGCAGAAGAATATTTCATAATTCCTTACAATTACAATCTGGAGGAGGAGTACATTCACATAAAATTATGTTAGTCATTGAAATGAAAACATTATTCATAAGGTTTGATACAAATGATATTAATGCATCAAACTTGTTTCTGCTGAGTTCTGAAGAAAGTACCAGATGGATAATAGGACATATATATTAATGTTTAGAAGCCCATACATCTCCAGTTGAGACTGTTTTATTTCTCCAACATTGTGGTAAATCTGTGGAACAAGGGTTAACAGATATTTGAGAGATGAGGACTGGATTTATGATTAGTTTGTTATGGACGGTTGGGTGTCAAGACATCCTTTTGATGTCCTATAATCTACAAACTTTATATAACATTCAATAACAAAATCCATTGACTGATTTCAAGCAATTGTATGACTCTTAATTACACATTTAAATGTTAATAACTAAAAGTAAAGCCTAGGAGTCGAACTGTTAGACTATGTAAAAGTTCCTTTCAGTTTCAAAGGGTTGGTAAAATAATCTTTTGAGTAACACTAAGTAGTAAAAATTAAACCTTGTATAATGAACATATCAATATCTAATAATTAAGCATACGACAAATTTTACCTTTACTGGAACTTCTTTGTATGAATAAAGCTCTAACTTGGGGATCAGCTATAAATTTTTTCATGCATTCTTGATTTATTTTTTCTAATAGACTTGTTTCAAGGGCAGGATGAATGATGTCATCGTCTTCTAACAACACTGGAACAACCCTCTTTATGTACTTCACTAAAATTGGTAATTCCACAACTGTAACAGCCTGAGGTACCGGCGGTTGTTGTGGACTTCCTCCTTCGCCTCCTGATTCCGACATTTTCAAAATTTTAAAATTCGCTTAGTGGAACTTGCTTGTAGTCAGACGGCCCAAAGTTATGCATATAGTCCACCTCATCAGATCACAATAAACGTCTCATCTACGCCGCCTAATGACTCATTGCAGGTAAGTTCAATACAATGTATATGATAACACATCCGGGTGCCGCAATGCTGATTGCACTTTGCACGCCCTCTGTTAGCGTATAGATTATTAACAATAAATAAATAAATATATATGACATTTATGTGTATATATGAAACAGCATTTATAAAACTAAAATGTGAAACTCCCTTGACTTACAAACAGAATGGGAAGTATGCGAAATGAATATGAAAAATTACTGTTAACAAAATCACTTAAATTAAAATAATTTTATGAATACTATAAAATTTTATAAACATATTTTTATAAGACGGAAATTCTTCAAAATATATAGTTTTACAATTAAACTTACTTGTAGGAAATGGGGATTTAAAAATATATCTAACTAATGATTTATAATTCTACTGTGGAGGTGAGAAAACATTTTATCACGAAGCGTGGGAATTCACAATTTTTAGTCGTGGGAAGTGTGTATATGTCTTCTGTATCAATGCTTGATACCCATAAATAAGGAAAGATTTCCTACCGATAACACAGTTTCGATCACCGTTAAAAGCAAACTGTCATATTCACAAGCCCAATTACATTAAATCTAATCAAAAACACCTTAGGTGTAAAAACAAAAGATGCGGCCACAAAAGGATTGATCGTGCAACTTATAGGAATGAAATCAAAATTGGTGGCAATACTGGCAGCAACACTTATAGCATTGATAAGAATTTTACATCAAATATTCACGCATTAGTTAACCAGGCTGCGTTTTTTTTTTTTTTTCAACGACCAAGAATTTCCCAGCTTATCCTCGACCTTTCATTCGTCCAATATATTTCAACCATTATAAAACGCTATTAAATTTTGCCAGTGTATCCTATCGTGCCCACTAATCTTAGTCTTTTTTCTTCCCTTGCATTTTCCCGGCACGGTCTTGGCAGTTTATTCGGTAACCTGGCCGTGAAAGTGGGTTTTCTCAGGTACTCCCGTTAGCCCCCACAACAAAATTATTTCTTTGCACTTTGGATCCTTCGATCCCAGCCCCGAAAAAGACCGTTCCGCTTACGCTTCCAAATTACTATTATCATTATTAATAAATTATTAACAATAATTTAAAATAATTATATTTTTCTACCATATCAGAGCAAGTCTAGTTATATAACTCAATCCTGAACGCGAATTCAGATATTAATACTAATTTCTAATCATGATTGTCTATAACTCAATCCTATAATTTAAAATTTCACAAATTTACATATGTTTTTCAGATTGATAATCAATTTGGAACTGGCTATCTTCGTTTCAGCCTTGGTCTACTTCGTCAACGTCTACAGTACCCTTCCTTCTACAAACTTCCGGTTTTCGTCTCTCTGCACACACGGCTCTTCAGGGTGTCTTGAGACATTTCTTTCCACATTTGTAACACACCCAACAGCCACGTTATATAATCACCCAACCGTGTTTAAATAACTTGAAACATCGCCAGGTTGTTAGGGCGCTTCACTCGCAATCTGAGGGCCGCTGGCTCGAATCCCCCCAAACATGCTCGCCTTTTCAGTTATATAGTAATGGTCAATCCCAGTATTTGTTGGTAAAAGAGTAGTCCAAGAGTTGGCGGTGGGTGGTGTTGAATATCTACCTTCACTGCTAAATTAGAGACAGCTAATTTAAAAATAAATAACTTAAACCTCTAATACGAAACGTTTCTCGTTTTTCAAAAATTCGGCTCTTAACCCAAAACATTTTTCACTCCACTTCAGAGATTAAGCTTTTTCACGAGCGGGGCGAAAAGAAAGTATAGTTTCTGATAGCCTCTGTAGGGGCTTGAAATACCTTAAACCAAACATCTGCCAGAAATGGAATTGGAATCTATTATTATTTGTTGCTTGTAGAAATACTAACATATTTGTTGTTTGACTAGGCTTTCCAACTGCTTCATTTCCTCATGGTAAGTATACCATTTCCTCATTTTGAATTTCTTCTAATAGTCAATAATGATTTACGTATTTTTCAGATGTAGTTTGGGGTTATTGTTTAAACGTGTAAGATCATTGCAGGTGTCCTTGTAGTGCAATGCATGATTTGTTTGGTATTCTGTAATGGGTTTAAGATTTTTCGATACCTGCTGCCATCTATTAAGAGTTTTTTAAATACAGTTACCAGGATCGTTTGCTAAAACTTGCCACCAATAATGTTTTTCATCCTCTCCGGATTAATTTATTGTTGTCTTTATTCATGTTGGCTGCCGATTATTACACATGTGAATGGCTAGATGTGCGTGGTTGTTAAAATATAAAGTTGATAATGCTGTCAGAATGTCTTTAGGTTATTTAGATTTTATATGCCATTTTGAAAACTTTCTTAAATTATAATAATTGCCTGTCTTACTCATACAAAATTTGGCTTAATTTGTAGTTCTTGGCACCGGTGTACTACTTAGGTTATAAGCGTTCACGTATTCAGCTCAACTTCTTTAATTCTTTTTTTGTTAGGATGTATCTAAATGATGTTCCGTATCACGTGTCATTATTATTGGCATCCTTTGTTAATGTGACTCTGATAGTGGAAATGCCATTATTAAGGTCATCCTTTGTTAATGTAACTATAATAGTGGTAATGCCATTATCATTAGTCATCCTTTGTTAATGTGACTCTGATAGTGGTAATGCCTATTATTAAGGTCTATCCTTTGTTAATGTTCTATGATAGTGGTAATGCCTTTAATATTGGAATCCTTTGTTAATGTGACTCTGATAGTGGTAATGCCTTTATTATTGGCATCTATTTTTGATTCAGCACTGACATTGGTCGTATCATTAGTATGGTCTTATTTTGCTGGTGTGGCCCTGGCATTTATCTTGTCATTATTATTGACAAACTTAATTGGTGCAGCCCAGACAGTAATCATAAAATCCATAATTTTATCTATGTTGTCCCCGTACCCTTCAATCTTCTGGTATCCAGAACCCAACTCAGGCGAGAAGAATATTGTGCTCTAAGAAGGTATTCAGATATGATTTCCTTTGTGTAGCTATTGGGTGATAAGTTAACTTTCTAAAGAATGCAAGTTTTCCAGCTAGCTTTCAACCCGTAACTATCTTGGTAGCTTTTTGGGTGGGGCATTTTTTACACTAATAAACAAAATTCTTAAATATCTTGGAACATCCAAGCTGGTTTTCTAGACCAACAAACGCTTCTTGTTAATGAGACAGAAGTTCATTTAATATTCATCACTAAGTGATAGCCAAAACAACCCAAAACTGAAAAGTATGGGGTGAGTGTTGCTGGGAAGTACAACTCTCACATCCACGATTTAACCCTAGTGTTTTGACGTTTTACAGATTTGCCTTACACCACAGGCTAAGAAGATCAATAATGACTAAGATTTTGCGGTTTCCAGTGATACACAATCGTGATTGAACACTCAGATCCCTTCGGTGGCTTCTATAGTCTACTGCTAATTGCAGTATTAATCAAACACTACATATGTATCTATGTCTTGCTGCTAACGGTAAACCTTCTTATAATTAGGGTATGTCGTTGTGCTAGTTAGATAAAACTTATAACAAGAAAGCTTTAAACTTCAAAATGGACACACACTTCTGCTGGTGACACATTTCAAAACACCAAAAAGAACCAGACGTGATAGTCACTTACATAATGGGCATAGATAGAGGACCATACAACTTCATGAGTAAAAGATGTAGAACTAATTTGAGATTTTAATATTCACACCTCGGCTTATCCTTTAGAGGATGGTTATAAAGTCAACATTGGTAGTTGATCAGTCTGGGAGGAAAACCATGTACGCACCAGAGAAATGTATTGTCTACTTACATAAAAGATCACAAAGAGCGGATTTCACTAGTTTCAGAAAACAACACTAGGAGCGCCACTTTAGTAACTGTTCGGTGTTGCCACCATCATTCCCAATAATTCCATCCATCCTGACAACACTAGTAATTATTGCAGCATGAATGTCTTCCCAGTAATTGTCCAAAGTTCTATCACAGTGTTTGTTTGTTTGTAATTAAGCACAAAGCTACACAATGGACTATCTGTACTCTGTCCACCACGGGTATCGAAACCCGTATTCTAGGGTTGTAAATCCGCAGACATACCACTGTGCCACTAGGGGGAGGGGGCATTGGCAGTCGTATTACTTTCAATAATAAACAAACTTGTGAAAGATTTTTCCTGCAAATGAGATAC